TTTAAATATTAATAGTCACGAAGTCCGATATTCTTGTAAACAACAATTTTAGTTTTACATAAACATTATCTGCAAGATCTATTGATTTTAGCAAAGAAACATTTGATAGTACGACGATTAGTAGTCTTCGTATTTAAAGAGATTTTGTTTGTTATGATTCTTACTTAATAACATTTCAATTTTGTCTCATTTAACCGTTAAATAAATGCTAAATTACATCAATTACATCTAACTATTTAGCTCGCTTCTAGCTTTCAAAAAGCTATTAGGCTGAAAAATTTTTCACGGTGACGATTTTCATCTCAACCACTTTCTACATTTACAGTCTTAACAAGGAAAGTTTTCAGTATAATGATGGTAATAATTGGTAAATTGTGCAAACTGATTATCGTTTTACGTACTTTTCGTTTTCTTTTACATTCTAAGTGAAAACAGAACAATTAGGAAGTCAACTAAAAAGAACCAACAGAGTTATCGATTTCCTGCTAATCAAACAATAATTATCTGCGATAATTTTCATAGAGAAGGAAAGCCTGTCAACTCAATCGACGCTAAAGATTTTACAATTATTAATAATACGAAGGTTGTACGACAAGTAACGTTTTCCAGTTAACTTTTGATGGCATTTCTTGTGTGTGCAGCGTATTTTATTGAAGTAATCGTTAAACAGAATGTAATTTTATTTGACACTGTACGATGATTTTGAAAGTTTGAATTTAAAAAAAATGAAGATAGTGGACTTGTTCAATGAGATTTACTAATTTACGTTAAGTAGCTTAGAAATAACCCTCATATGTTTATATGTATACGAATGAGAGCAATTATAAGTATAATCAACATAGTATTTGTAATTTGCACATAAATTATAAATACGAGATATGTCGTATATGAATAGATACTAAGATACTATAGCGTTCGGTGACTTATTTCATAGATTCAGTTTCACCTTGTTGCAAGGAAACGTTTTAATTAAGTCAGCCAGACCGGTGTCTCGACATTGTTACGTAATCAAGAAAGAAAAAAAAGTACAATCTGTAAAGTAATGCAACAAGAAAATTTAAATTGTATTCATTGTTACTATTTCAGTTGTTTCATTTGACAAAATTTTATAATTCAAGCCCATCAGAATTGACAATGTCCCCAATTTTTAATTGTTTATCTGTGAGAATGGACGTATCTTCTCTGTTAATTCCATTTGGGAGTACCTATAGTCATTTGCTGGGTTTTGACAAGTCCTTGTTATGTTAGAAAATACTTTAAGTGTAGTACAGACAAAATGAAAAGGGTTAACCGAGTAATAGTAGGTGGTGCAGGGATTAGAGGTTACTTAGGTTGGAATTACATCTGATCTTTAAACAAACGTCTTCGTTTTCCTAATTTCCTGAGAATGTTGAACTTTCATTAAACATGTAATGTTATTCCTTTTTCTTTATTAGTGTCCGCTGCAATTGCCACTTGACATCTCTTTTCTATGTTTACGATATTCCCTACAACGTTTGTCGTCACTAAAAGTAGGCGTTCTGTCAGCAACCGCTGTAGTCTTGTTAGTAAGTTAAAGGAAGAAAGTAAATGCAACAATTTTATTGCGGACTATGCCAATTTTAAGTGACTTAACTATAGGACACCTTCTCAAACGTGAAGGGCTAGTCAGAGATGTACTGGAAGCAGAAATAGGAGTTACAGATGTAGGTTATTCTAGTTTTCAAGAAATATAAAGGTTGGCTCAAAATAGGAGTGTCCAGCCAGGTATGAAATTTCGTCATGTATTTTACATGTTTAGAATTCATGTCTGCCTCATCATTTACTATGAAATCAATAATTGATTGAAAAATTCTAGATATTAAGTATTTCAGTATATTCAAAAGTATGTCAAAATCATTTCTGATAACAATCTAAGCTACTGTATTGCTTTTATTAAGTGTACATCTGTATAAACCTACAAAAACAAATAAAGCACTTTAGTAATAATATAAGAGTAACGCCTTTATTTAGAATTAAACCAAATCTCGATGGGTATTGTGCAAAATGGAACAATTTATTTTATTTCATACCATTTGATAAAATGTTGAAGAGGGATTTTGAAGCATTCTTGTTGTACTAGCATTTATTAAGTACTTTCACGAATATTTCTTGTACGTGACCTGTTTAATCTTCAAATCAAACCTAAGTTATCATTTCGTTTTTATGACAACGTTTCATTTGGGTTAAGTGATATTTTTTTGTTAACTGTTACATTAATATAGACTGTAAGTACAACCAGAAAATAAAACATGAAAAGCAAGTACCTACAAGTAGCTGTAATTTGATAGAAAAATCAATATATATTAAGCAATGAAAGGTTTTTTACCGGAAAGGTATCTAGTTAGTCCATAACAGTTTTCATGGTCAATAGTATACGCGATATTCACATGCAATACAGACATATATGTATGCGTGTATTTTTGCATAAAGCAGTGCATTAAAATCCATCATTATTGACAGAAATATAAATGAAAAATAGGTAAAATGTATCGCTTTGTTCTTTTTAGGGTTCCGTACGTCCGAATGAAAAACGGAACCCTTATAGGATCACTCATGTGTCTGTCTGTCCGTCCGTCCGTGTGTCACAGTCAATTTGCCCGAAATCTACTGGACCGATTAAGTTGTAATTTGGTACATATATGAATTTCTGTGACCCAAACAGGGACGCATAACGTAAATAAATTAATTTTGAACATGAGGGTTATTTTTGGGGGGTTAATAAGAAATTAAAAGAAATGTTTTGCAAACTGTACCGTGTTACATTAAATGAAAGGGCTTGTTGTAAGGGTCGTATATCTATACTTTTTTATGATTTTAAAACAAATGGTTTTAAAGTTATTTAAGAAAATAGATGAAAATTGACCATTCCAACTTCCCCTCTTATCTGTGAAACTACTGAACCTAAAATTAAAAAAAAAAAAATACAGAAATTAGTTCTTTACTTATACATTCCAGGAAAATTAATTATAAGTCTATGGTTTGAACATAACGTGGTAAATTTGTCAATAAAACAATATTATGCATACAAATTTACATTTGCAATTTGAGTGTATGGGAGAACATCTTTTTTTTTTCAATTNATTTTATTATATAATATTTTATTTTTCCATGAAAAAATATAATGTATTTCTAGGTAATCACATGAGAAACATATAAAAATGATTTGCAGTTCATAAAAAAAGTTGAATTAATTACTTAAATAATATAATTAAAAAAACAGCTTCTTAGTTTCTTCTTACAAATATCGCTTAAAAATATCTAAAAATCTGAGGAATTTCAATTAATCAATTACTTTACCTTATCTACTTATTGACACTGTTATCTTAATAGATTGTCAATATTGTATTTATTTATTAATAGAGGTGCTCTGACAAGATGCCATTTGAAGAAAATGGAAAAATTTCATCTAATTTGAATACCCAATGAGAGAATACATAATATCCAACATAAATAAGTAGGTCGAATGTGCGCCTTTTTGAGATAAAATAAATATGTATTATTACCTTTTATTATCAATATCAGTTTTTTGTTAATTAGTATATTAATATTAATAAATGTTTTAAATTGGTCTAGTCTGGACCAGGATAGAATTTAATCTAAATTAATAACGATTGTTTGTACAATGGAGATGTAATCTCTATATTCAGAATGGTCGAAGAAGATTAATCAACTTAAAGGAATTTTATTAAAAATTTTTTTACAAAATTAATACTAAGGAAAAATTTGATGAATTTACAGTGATGTGAAGACAGAAAAGGGTGTAGAATACATTTATAAATAATATTTATAACTATTTCATCACCAATTACCATTCATAATAGCCCTGATGCCATTTGTAATAATGACTATCCAAGGGTTATAAATAGTGTTTTAGATAGTACAAAGAGTTAGTAAGTAATGAATCATGTTAAATATTTTTTGTTTAATCAATGATAACAATCAAAATGCTTGCAAATACTACATATGTACATGTATGAATAACGTATTAATAAATTCTTTTAATAAGAATCCTTTACAACAATAATTGATAAATCTGGTGAAATATTTTTATGATTTATTTTAGTAATGAGCAAAATTGGTCTTGGTGTAGGTCTTGCATTTTCGCAAAACTGTTTATATAGTAACAACACCAAGACTAAAACCAAAACCGAATATGCAACGAAAATATTTCCTTTAAAAGCCATAAATATCAAGATGAGGAAGAAGTAATTAAAGAAAAAGAAAGTAAAGTTTCAAAGATCCATAACATTGGCTTCTTTAGGTGAAGATGTTCTGATTAAAATTGTTACAAAATTAGCATAAATACTAAAAGTTTATGGGGTTGGAACAACGTAAGGCATTAAGCTTTTGAAGACAAATTTAAATTTAATAATGGAGACCTATTTACATCAGTTTGATCGTTTAGTAAAATATTTAATTTATTGTATTTATTAATATAAAGACTTTCAGTTTAATTTATAGCCTTTTGGTAATTGTTTCAAAATTTGAAAATTATCATATGTAGAATCAGTTTTCCCATTAATATAACTCCTCCTGTGTTCTGTAATCCTTTGATCGAAGCATCTCCCAGTTTGTCCTACATAGACTTGATTGCAATGTTATGGTGAAACAATTGTTGTGGACAATTAGTATAGATATATTTTTCAAACTTTATTTTCTTTTTCTTTAATTGAATATGGAGTTTCAATAAGTAAAGCCTTCTACGATTACTTATTTGAATAAGAATTATTAAATAAATAGACTACATATATCAGCAATAGCAATAGCAAGAGCAAGATGACAGTCTTGGTTTTGGTCTTGCCTTGCTCATCACTAATTTATTTTCACCTTAATAATTATGACGCCATATTGATTTCAGCTTTTTAATCGGTAAATTAGAAACCTTACAATGACATAGGTAGTTTATAGGTACTTAAATTTTTATTTATTCGATTGTTTGGTTTTCCTTTGGAATGATTTGTATTATTAATCTGTTTAAGGATCGAGACTACAGTCGAGTAAGCACGAAAAGCGATTCCTATGGGTCTTCCCCGGTATCAGAAGCCACAGAAAGGGTGTCGTCACCGAAGCAAAACGGCACCACGCCAAGTGTGTGTCCACCGCCACCTCCACCCCCGGTAAGTATTTCCTTTATAATCTACACGACGCGTCTACATAATTAACCCAATTCAACTGTTGTACTTAATTAAATTTAAACCAATAACAAAACATTTTGTATACTACAAAACTAATAAATCAACAAGGGTCAGATGTTAATATCTATTAGGTATTTGCATCTTCGCATTTCCCTAAAACCAGAACATCCTGAATCCTTAACTATTTTCGAACAGTAATCTAATCTAGTAAAGGTGTATGTTTGGAGCACGGCGTTGTATGGGTGCGAAACATGGACAGTGGGAGCGGCGGAAAAGAAAAGATTAGAAGCGTTCGAAATGTGGTGTTATAGGCGGATGATGAGGATATCGTGGGTAGAAAAGGTTAGAAATGAAGATGTATTGGAAAGAATAGGAGAACAGAGGACTCTATGGAAGTCAACAGGAAATAGGCGAGATAGGTTGGTAGGACACCTTCTCAGGCATGAAGGTCTAGTCAGAGACATATTAGAGGCAGAAACAGGAGTTAGGAGGGGTAGAGGTAGACCTAGATTAGATTACTGTTCGCAAATAGTTAAGGATGTGGGCTGCTCTAGTTTTAGGGAAATGCGAAGTTTAGCTCAGGATAGAAAAGAGTGGAGGTACGTGTTCAACCAGTCTTAGGACTGATGACCTTATGATGATGATGATGAATCTAATCTAGGTCTACCTCTACTCCTCCTAACTCCTGTTTCTATCTGTAACATGTCTCTGATTGGACCTTCATGCTTGAGAAGGTGTCCTACCAACCCATCTCGCCTATTTCTTATTGACTTCCATAGAGTTCTCTGTTCACCTATTCTTTCTAATACCTCTTTATTTCTAATCTTCTCTATCCACGGCATCCTCATTATTCACCTGTAACACCACATTTCGAACGCTTCTAGCCTTTTCTTTTCCGCAGTGCCCACCGTCCATGTTTTGCAACCGTACAACGCCGTGCTCCAAATATACACTTTTAACGACTTTTTGGAATTTCCAAATTAGCCGTTCGTAAGCATAGAAGTCACTTCTTTTTATTGAAGGCGACCGGACCCTGCGCTATCCTCTGCTTTATATCCCTACTACTCCTTCCGTCCTGAATTATCTGACATTTTAGACACCTAAAATCATCCACTTCTTCAAATTTTTCGTCTTCTATCTTTATATTCGCTCATTCTCTACTTTTTCTTCCCTTGTATACTAGTATTTTGTTTTACTTTTATTTATTTTCATACAACACTGTTTTGTCAATACCGCACCGCTTCCATTTTATTTAAAGCTATCTCTAACTCCTCCTTGCTACATGATAATACTGTTATTATTGCTGTTATTGCAATTAAATTCTATGCATGTGAGCATTGATTGGACAAATACAAAGTTGTGAAATTCGCCTTAAAGTATTTCTTAAGTAGCACCTAGTGGTTACCTAACGTAAAACGTATTTATTTAATTTTAAATGACCCCAACATGCTTTCATACAAGACATGAAGTAGGTACATAGCATACGCAAACGTGCGTATTTATTACAAATTGTTAGCTGAATTTTAAAATACCTTTTGGTATGTCTGATAATGCAAGGTTTGTTATGCATGTTAGCTAATCAATTTGTTATTAGGGATAATGTATGTACAGTAAAAGCTCTTTATTCGCTGGGTATACGTTCCATAAATATGCCGCGAATACAGAAACCGTGGATATGGAATGGTAACTAGTATGGAATCTTAGGGGATACGTTTCAAAATAAAAATCAATGTATTGACAAATTCGCAATTAAAATTAATCGTTACAATCAGCTCTAGGCAAGAGTTTAAAAAATTTAGTGATTTTTTCTTGTTTTGAATTTTGAAATTAGTCCACTCGGTTACATCTTTTATAAAAGTCGCCTCGGCACGAGCCAATAGTACTCAAGAGATGCTGATACGTTGAAAAATAACACGGAATTCTTTTCTATTCAAAAGATGCCGATACATTCAGTGGTACACGCGCCATAGAGTAAAAACATGCTTATCGGTTCTAGATATCATGAGTTTAATGTTTAAAACAGAGGTTTCAAATTTTTTAGTAAGATATATACAGCTTTGTTCTAAAGCTTGTCGAAGGGCATTTCTTTATTTTTTAATTTCTATTGAAAATACGTGTCCTACAAGAAACATCAACTTTAAGCACTTGTAAAAGCTTTTAATGACCATATTATTGGAAACCAAAAACGTACCGAGGTAGTGTGAACCTTTGTCTGTTACCATACAAAAAATTAGATATTTATCTCGCAGCGTTAAATTACAATGTTTAGAATAGAAACCCATGTTTTCGGAAAAATTCACATTAAGTACGAGCGGTCTATCGCGGTCAATCCCTTTAATAAATGACACCGAATCCTTTTCTGTTTATCGATTGCAACCACGAATAATGAAATTTTTAACCGCGAATAGAGGAACTGGGTTGCAATTTTGAAAACGCGAATAAGGAAACTGTGAATAAGGAGCTTTTACTGTATACACAGGCCGCTGTTACTTTGCGTTAACACAAAGAGGGAGCTTACAGTGAAGTACCAAAAATAGTAAGTTATACTGTCTAGTTAACTGATTGAAGCAGACTTCATGTGTTAACTGCCATTGTTAGATACATTTAGTGTGACGTAAATTCCTAAATAACAATATGCAATGTAGAAATGCAAAAAAATACAAATAAGTTATTAAGACTACACCAAGTGCACATTTCAGTGCGTAGGTAGCTTACAATATCTTGCATGCATGAGATTAATTGTTATTATTACACAAATATCGTTTTATAATTAACTTTCAACTGCTCTAAAGTCAATTAAGATTTTTTCCAGACATAATTAATTACCTATCTAATTTCTAAAAAAATACCACAGCAATTAGTATGATTTAATGACCATAAGTGATAGGTACGTTAATTTTTATATCTTTACTATTACACAAAAAGAATAATCGTATGCGTTTAAATCACTTTTTTTTTGTATTAAGATATTTTATTATTGACCATTTTACTAGCATACTTCTGTTTTTATGCATCGTTAAACGTTTTTACAAAGCTACAATAAAACCAGTAAATTGCGAATGTAATTTTATTACCCTCTGTTTCACTTTAACAGTAATGTCAGAAATTTACCATATTAGGAAGTTTTATAATTAAATATCTATCCATTTAGGTGTTCCTTTTAATATGTATCTAACTAGCACTTCATGTCCTAGATGATTTTCAGCATCTTGTCTCTCATTTTTCTTATCGACTTCCATACTGTTGTTTGTTCTTCGACTTCTTCAAGTACATCCTTTTTTCTAACTTACGAGGTCTATTCAAAAAGTTTCGCGAATTTTGTGTTTTTTCAAAAATTATTTATTTATTCATGAATATCTATTTTGTTCCCTTCCAAGTAATCCCCACTAGATATTATACACTTGTGCCAACGTTTTTTCTAATCCTCGAAGTAAAAATCATTGTTCAGTTCCTCCTTCGATGCCGTCTTTATTTCTTTAATCGTAGCGTCGTCCTTTCTTGGGCCTCTTCAGTTTCGGGAACAATAAAAACTCACAACGCCAAAAATTCGCCCGCAAGCAACAATGTGTGAGCAGGGGGCATTATTATGGTGCAAAAGCCAATTTTTGTTTTTCCACAAATCCGTATAACTTGCAGTTGGTATTCCTCATTGACTGTTCTATCTTGTGGCAAGAACTTATGATGTACCACGCCCATGCAATCGAAGAAAACTATAAGCAAAACCTTCACATTCAACCTAACTGGGCGCGCTTTTTCCGGTGATGACTCGTGCGGTAGCTTCAATTGGGATGATTGAGCTTTGGTTTCCACTTCATAACCATAAACCCATGATTCGTCACCAGTTATGATCCTGTGGAGCAAATTTGGGTCGTCGCGGACAGAATAAACAAAAATTGAAGACCAGTCAAAACGTGCGCAAGTAAAGCAGCTGCCAAAAATTAACTGATCATTCAATATGGCCGAACTTGTTGGTATAAGTGAGAGACATGAATACCAACATAACGCCACAAAGAAATCGAATATACGTATACGTCAAAATCCGTGATACTTTTTGAACCGACCTCGTATTCTATCCACTTAACAAACGTTTATTTCGTTTTAATGTGAGAATTTATTTATTAATCTCTACAGTTGTTTCGATTGGATTATGCATTCTTAAAAAGAATAACAGTTACAGTGACATTCTTTTTTAATGCAAGTATTATAAATATGCTTAAAAACTGTTATATCATTTGTTTTAGCCTCCATTTGGAGATGTTCCGTCCAAGACGGTCCCGCCAACAACGACTGTTTCAAGATCACCTACCGAAAAACAAAAGCCAAAACAGCCTCCACCGGTTCCAATCAAATATTCAACCCTTTCAACAACGAACAGACTGCCGCAAAAGATTGGTGGTCAGCCTCCACCGTCTCCTATCCCAGACTACGACAACCTCAACTTTTCGTCAAATACGCTCACAAAAACCAATTCGCCCATATATGCCAAGCCAATAACCAAAACTAGTCACTCAGAACAAGGATCTACACCAGTCAATGGGTCTGTTTCCAAAACCAACGGCTATGGCACATTAAAAAGTTCACCTGCCAATGGAATTGTCACGCCCAAACTTTTACTAAGCAACGGTGATAGTCTTCCGAACAGCTTTGGGTCGCCCCCACAGTGTCCACCACTACCTGGCGCAGGTGGCGTATCGCCGGAAACCTCCACGTTGAGAAAAAGACCAGTCAGTGTTGTAATTGGAGAGTATCCATCAGATACTCTAAGGAGGCAACCTGGGAAACTGGATTTCCTTCAGAACAGTTTAGATGAAATCGATCGAAGTTCTCAGTCAAGCGGAGATTCGATAAGCAGTCAACTGGCGAGTGAATTGGCTCAAACCTTAAATAGGTCAAACCTCAGGAGAAAAACGGAATCCGTGGTAAGTTCAATATTAATTTTGTCTCACTTTTATTCTTTTTAATTAACTAATAAATTAAAATAGTCAACGTGCAAGGTGCTAAATGTTTGAATAATATTTTGTTTAATATAGTCGGTCATTTTGTTTTCTCAGATAGCAACTGATTATTTAGTATATTAACTATAGATAACCTCAAATAAATTAGAAAAAATTGTTGTTGCTGTTACGCTCTCGCCGGGAATCGAACCCGCGTCCCTGGCTTTACGCAGCATTGCTCTACCACTAAGCAAGGGGTTTTGAGTCCTACGTAGTTTAGCAAGGTCGTCGTTGTTGGCTCTGCTCTCACCTCTTGTAGCTTAGTGATAGAGCAAACGTTCGTAAACCCAGGGATCTGGGTTCAATTCTCGGCGGGGGCGTGACGGTGGCAACAACTTTTTCTCATATATTTGAAGTTATCTGTAGTGGTAAAAAATCAATTCACTTTAACGTAGTGAAATTAACCCTCCAAGAAGTTCTTCTAAATGGTTCTTTAATGTTTTTCACGTTGTTCCTTTTAATTTATCGAAGAACTCTTAATACAGTAAAAGTCAACAATATTCTATCCCTTTTAATAATTTAACAATTTGTCTTTTATAATTATCGATATTTATAGTGTTTACAACTATTAATTTAAAGAACTAATAAATTTTTGTTCTATAATTTATTAAAATAATACATCATACATAAATATATTAAATTGTGAAATCAAAATTTTCTTTTTGCAAAATAAAAAAGTTCATTCGTATTATTTATCCAGGTGATTGTTTAACAAAGGAATTTTAATTTGGTTTATCAAAATTGTATTTTCTGATAAGTACTAAATGAATTTTTTAAAAATTGTTAGGTAGTATTAATAATCCAGTAAATTTGGTAGATCTTCATGCTTGTCTCTTAAAAGTTAATTTCATTAAAATATTTTCTGGTGCATTTCAATTTCTGACTAACAATTTCCTTGCACCGTTTACCCTTTGAAGAAAAGGGTTGATGCTTTCTCCTGCTTCGAATTTATAGACATCTGTTTCCTCTATTAGTTTTGAACTAACATTTTTTCAAGTAATTACAGGAGGTATTTTCCTGAATCTAAAAAAAGCTTTCCCATTTCCATTGAACGCTTCTTTTTTATTATATAACTCGTTTAAAACTTACAACTTTTTTTAAATAAACTATTCCTCTGCTCTTTTGTATCTGCCTCCTTCACTTTTCTTCACCCAGTAGATTGTTTGGGTTTTAATTATTTCGAAAACTTCTACTCCATCATACGATGTTATTTCAGGAGAATTTGACTTGTTCCCGAATTTCTTCTAAAAGTAACGGGACAGTCACTATATCGGTGGGCAGTAATCTTCTAAGAAATTTCGCTAGATCCACTGAAAATCTTTTAGACAGCAGAGAAAACAAGATAAATTCCAATTCGAATCGGGTCACAATAAGTATCGGACCCGTGAAAAATTCCAATTTTTCCAATGGCTTACTTAAAACTGGTAATTATTATTTAGCAACAACGTTTCATTATAAATTATATTGGGAAAGTAATTTCTTTTTATAGGAATTCACTCGAATTATCTCTATCTAATGTGAAAATTCATTTAATGTAAGTACCTCAAATTTATGAGAAAAAATTGTTGCTGTTGTCACACCCTCGCTGGGAATCGAACCTTGGGATTTACGAACCAATGTTCTAACTACTAAGCTACGAAAAGTGACACCAGTAAAAAGCCAAAGGCTTCGGGTTCTATTCCCGGCTAGGACGTGACGACAGCAACATTTTTTTCTCATCAATTTGAGGTATTTTCTAGCGGATAAAAATCAAATGAATTTTCTGTAAATGGAATTCATTGTAAAATAAAATCATTTGATTTTTTTGTTCTCTTTTTCAGGCCAATGAATAGAATAATAAATTGATTGTACATTGAAGTAATCTTGAAAAATACGAATCGTGAGAAGTGCGTGCAATCACATAGAGCATTAAAACAGCCCTTCATACTTCCTTATCTTCCCTCTTTTTTATGTACTTAATAAGTTTTAGCGTCAATTAAAACTGTACTGATTCCTAAGTGTTTTATTACTATTTATAGATTTATACTATTTTGTGTACCTTGCAATATACATACATATATTAATATTATTGTATTGAATTAAATATAATTTGATTTAATTATTTTCCTGTCTTATTATTGATATCAATATATATTTAAAAACCGGAAAGGTAAGTTAATGATTTTGTTTTACTGAAAAACATTTATTCTATCATTTTTTATTCATAAATAAGTTCGCACTGTTTGTAAAATTTATTGAAATTCTTTGTTCTTTTATTAATTATCTATTTACGTCATGAACGTTGATACTTAATCACCCCTTAACCTTCCAGCGGTCACAGATTAGAAATCGGCTCGGTCACTTTCAGTACCATATAAATCGTATTGTGACCAACACGTTCGTTTCGTCGCGATTTTGTACAGTAAACTAATAAATGAAGTTTTTCGTCAATTAATAACTATGAAAGGCATAACAATAATTGGATTGCAGTGTAATTGCAGTTACTAATTATATGGATTACATTAATTTCTTACTCCTTAAGTGATAAGGAGCTTTTCATCTATAAAATATTCTTCATGTTCAACAAAACACTCGAAAGGTAAGTGTAACTTCATATTTTTCAATTATTTTACTGCTTTATCTAGGGATACAGACACAGGGTGATGAGAAAAGCGATTGCAAATAATTATACTATGTTTCATGATGTACACCTGCACGTAGGTAAAGCAAAATGTATGGTAAAGTAAATATCGATCAGTTATTGTATTACAATTAGGTCAAGAAGGAAAATTATGTTAAAATATAATATTCACCAGCCATTAATTATTGAAGAAACATCCCTGAAGTACAATTGGAACATAAAATTAAAAAGAAGTCACCACTTTTTCAATTAGTCTCTTAAGTATACATATGCCCTCTCACGTGATACAAAACACATCATGACATTGCAGGGAGTCGATTACACTTAGTGTAATAGGAGCGATTTGAATACGACCGTTCTTGTGGATATGCCAGTTCATGCAAATACTCTACCTTGCCAATGCTTTTCCTGTGTGTTATCTTTTGGATTTATGTTAAATAATTTTCCTTATTTTCCCTTCAACCAGTGTCGGGCGGAACCTTGTTCAAACAGCATTGAAAAACTGATTGCACCGTTAAATTCTACGAACTCTTTTACATACTAGTAACCTTTTAAACATTACCAAATCCTCTTAATCTCCAAGAAATTCAACGAGCGCTTTTCTTTGCTCTTATAATGTTCCTTATTTTCGCGTTTATCAGTGCCGGAAAGTACTTTCTAGACCCCGCACTAGAAAACTGATTGCACCGTTAGATTCGACGTATTTTTTTACATACCTGAACTCTTTCAGTGTTTTCCAAATCCTCTTTATCTCCAAGAAATTCAGCGAGCGCTTTTTTTTGCTCTTATAATTTTCCTTATTTTCGCGTTTAGCAGTGCCGGAAAGTACTTTCTAGACACCGCACTTGAAAACTGATTGCACCGTTAGATTCTACACACTTTTTTACATACTTCTACACCTTCAGTGTTTTCCAAATCCTCTTTATCTCCAAGAAATTCCACGAGCGCTATTTTTTGCTGTTATAATTTTCCTCATTTTCGCGTTTAGCAGTGCCGGAAAGTACTTTCTAGACGCCGCACTTGAAAACTGATAGTACCGTTAGATTCTACGCACTTTTTTACATACTAAGACCGTTTCTGTGTTTTCAAAATCGTCTTTATCTCCAAGAAATTCCACGAGCGCTTTTTTATGCTCTTATAATTTTCCTTATTTTCGCGTTTAGCAGTGCCGGAAAGTACTTTCTAGACACCGCACTTGAAAAGCTGACTACACCATTACATTCTACGTACCTTTTTACATCCCTTCACCCTCTTAAACTTTACCAAATCCTCTTTATCCCCAAGAAATACAACGAGCGCTTTTTTTTGCTCTTATAATTTTCTTTATTTTCGCGTTTGACGTCGCACTGGAAGACTGATCGCACCATTAGATTCTGCGCACTTTTTTACACTCCTGCACCCTTTCAATGTTTTCCAAATCCTCTTCATTTCCAAGACATTCAACGTGCGCTTTTTTTTGCTCTTATAATTTTCCTTATGACTAAGTTAAATAAAATTTAGTTTNTAGACGCCGCACTTGAAAACTGATTGCACCGTTAGATTCTACACACTTTTTTACATACTTCTACACCTTCAGTGTTTTCCATGTCCTCTTTATCTCCAAGAAATTCCACGAGCGCTATATTTTGCTGTTATAGTTTTCCTCATTTTCGCGTTTAGCAGTGCCGGAAAGTACTTTCTAGTCGCCGCACTTGAAAACTGATAGTACCGTTAGATTCTACGCACTTTTTTACATACCTAGACTCCTTCAGTGTTTTCCAAATCCTCTTTATCTCCAAGAAATTTCACGAGCGCTTTTTGTCGCTTTTATGATTTTCCTCATTTTCGCGTTTAGCTGTGCCGGAAAGTGCTTTCTAGACGCCGCACTTGAAAACTGATTGCACCTTTAGATGCTGCGTACTTTTCTACATACTTCAACCCCTTCAGGGTCTTCCAAATCCTCTTTATATCCAAGAAATTCCACGATCGCTTTTTTGTGCCCTTATAATTTTCCTTATTTTCGCGTTTAGCAGTGCCGGAAAGTACTTTCTAGACTCCGCACTTGAAAACTGATTATACCGTTGGGTTCTACGCACTTTTTTACATACTTCAACCCCTTCAGTGTTTTCCAAATCCTCTTTATCTCCAAGAAATTTCACGAGTGCTTTTTTTTGCTCTTATGATTTTCCTTATTTTCGCGTTTAGCAGTGCCGGAAAGTACTTTCTAGACGCCGCACTTGAAAACTGATTGCACCGTTAGATTCTACGCACTCTTTTACATACTTAGACCCCTTCAGTGTTTTCCAAATCCTCTTTATCTCCAGGAAATATAACGAGCGCTTTTTTTTGCTTTTATAATTTTCCTTATTTTAGCGTTTAGCAGTGCTGCCATGTACTTTCTAGACACCGCACCTTAAAACTGAATGCACCATTGGATTCTACGCACCTTTTCACATACCTTGACCCCTTCAGTGTCTTCCAAATCCTCTTCATGTCCATGAAATTCCACGAGCGCTTTTTTTTGCTCTTATAATTTTCCTCATTTTCGCGTTTAGCTGTGCCGGAAAGTACTTTCTAGACGCCGTACTAGAAAACTGATTGCATCGTTAGATTCTACGTACTTTTTTACATACTTAAACCCCTTTAGTGTCTTCCAAATCCTCTTTATATCCAAGAAATTCCACGAGCGCTATTTTTTGTTCTTGTAATTTTCCTCATTTTCGCGTTTAGCAGTGCCGGAAACTACTTTTTAGGCGCCGCACTTGAATACTGATTGCACCGTTAGATTTTACGCACTTTTTACATACTTATTCCCCTTCAGTGTTTTCCAAATCCTCTTTATCTCCAAGAAATTCTACGAGCGCTATTTTTTGCTCTTATAATTTTCCTTATTTTCGCGTTTAGCATTGCCGGAAGGTACTTTCTGGACAAGCACTTGAAAACTGATTGCACCGTTAGATTCTACGCACTTTTTTACATACTTCTACACCTTCAGTGTTTTCCAAATCCTCTTTATCTCCAAGAAATTCCACGAGCGCTTTCTTTTTGCACTTATAATTTTCCGTATTTTCGCGTTTAGCAGTGCCTTAAAGTACTTTCTAGACATCGCACTTTAAAACTGATTGCACCGTTAGTTTCTACGTACTTTTTTACATACTTGGACGCCTTCAGTGTTTTCTAAATACTCTTTATCTCCAAGAAATTCGAGGTGTGCTTTTTTTTGGACTTATAATTTTCCTCATTTCTTACTTTCTAGACACCGCACTTGAAAAGTTATTGCAGCATTAGATTCTATGCACTTTTTTACGTACCTAGACCTTTTGAGTGTTTTCCAAATCTTCTTTATCTCCATGAAATTCGACGAGCGTTTTTTTTGCTTTTATAAGTACCTTCTAGACACCGCACTTGAAATCTGATTGTACCGTTAGATTTTTGTTTAATAATTTGTTAGTGTTTTTATTCAGGTTTAAACCAACCGCTTCTACATTTATGCTGTCTCGTAAAATTTGATCTATACTCTCCTTTTTAATGTCATATTCAACGTATATTTCTTTGGTTTTACCGTCATATTCTGCATACGTTTGTGAATTTTTTTCATCAATTTTATTTCATGCGTATGACAGCGAAACTAGTTTTTAATTTCTATTATTAGTACTTTTTTTAATTGTAATTTTATGAATTAATTTCTAATTATTAAATGATGTAATCTTTTCTATCAATTACTAGGTATTTATATTTATATTAATATTATTCGGTTTTTATTATTAAATATTAATAGTAAAGGATATTATTTTCAAAAATCCTTCGTAATTGTTTGTTATTATGTCGAATTTAATTTTGATTCGATATGGGTGAATGTGATGTCGTGATGTAGTAGAAGAGCTTATCTAATGAGTAATGACCTCTACTATCGTTTTCTGGTTCTGTCAAGTGTGCTTACAATTAGTAATCGTTTATATTCGATATATGAAGTATGTTAAAATTAATTTGAGGTATT